TGTGACTTATACCAACATCCTAGCTGTCTCTTTTCTCCGTTATCACCAGGCTATGAGTCACGTAATTGTAAAATGGGAAATCTACGACGGAAAAGTCACGAATCGAAAGTATCATGAGGGCGTATTATGATGTATGCATAGGCATGCGTGGACTAGAGCGATAGAGGAAAGAGAAAGGGAAGAGCAAAGACGAGCACTTAAAAAGAAGGATAGGCAGGGTCAGACGCTCAGATGTGCGACAATTCTCGAACGAATAGGTGTGTACGTGTGCTGATCTTTGTAATTATAAATTGTGAATACAAGTGACTAATATTACGTTCTTTTTTAATTTGTGCATGTTATAAGTTATAAATAAATATAAACAAACAACACTAACCCGATAACATTAAATCTAAATAGCAAAATGATTAATTTACTGTGCTTTTGTTATTTCTTACTCCTGTTTTTAGGTATTCGGTATTCGGCCGAATAGTGACCGAATATTCGTTACGTCACTAATTTATATATTTTAATTATATATGCTACATATACTTTTCAGTATATTCACATTCCTAATGCAAATATGACATTTTCGTGATCCATCGTACTCGTATTCTTCACTTTATAATGACCAGGTTTAAATACAATATGACTGCCAGCATGTGCCTCTGAATAGCAAACACCTCTAAATAGCAGACAAACTTCAATTCCAACAGTGTCCACTATTCAGAGATTATACTGTGTAAACTTGTATAGTAAATTATAGAACTAAAATGAGGGTTTACACATTAATGAAAATGTTACTAAAATGATACAGTAGCTCTTACTCCAACAGATGTTTTTCTAGGCTACTATCAAAATATGGAGGAGGATGTCTTTGGATTCCAACAGTAGTCACTGTAAAGAAAAAAGTCTGCTGAAGTAAGAATTACATCATTTTAGGAACTTTTTCATCAATCTATAAACTTTATCTTAGTTCCAAAAGCTTATATATTCAAATGATGCATTCCTAATTCTTAATCTTCAATATATAATATGATTAATCAAATATTGTTATTAAAGTTTTAATGAATTAATAAAGAATACCAAAATTAGTGAAAAATCAAAATTATAAGTATCTATTTTTATAAAATTGTTTTTATACATACTAAAGTAGGATCTAATTTAGCTAATAATGCAGCTTGATTTTCTTCTACTGCTTTTAAACATATTAAAAGTGCCTTTGTATATTCAGCATTACATAAAAAAGCTTCCTCTGTAAAAGACAAAAAATTATTATTATTATCCAACTATTTAATCATCAAACTATATGAATTTACTTTTTAATCTTACTCAATCCAATTGTCAACTAGAGAATAGATAATATTCTAAAATAATTGTTATTAATATTAACTAATTTTATATAATACACATATATATACAGCAAAACTTACAAATTAAAGATTTTTTGTCATTATAAGCACTGTTTAATAGTTTTACATAATATTTTAGCAAGAAATAATCTACAAAACGATGTCAATACTACTTGCATTTGTGTTCTTATTTGTGAAAATTACATTAAGTTATAAAATATACAGTAGATTAAATACAAAATTATTTAACAAAATATTTTAATCTAAAGAACGTTAATTGCTTGAAGCTATAGATTTTACAAGAAAAGTTAGAAAGTCAACAGTTTTACACAGTTCTTCAATGGGGAAAACCTAGAAAAAACTGAATTAGTTTAATAAAATAAATCATATTAGGCTACGGCAAATTTCAGTTTTTTACTATATAAAACAGTTTAATTCATCATGAAATTAGTCAGCACAGAAGTAGAATAGGAAATTATGAAAAAAAAAAAAAAAAAAAGTAAACAAACAACTCAACTAAAATATGATACATAATAATAATAATAAAGCCAAACACTGCTGTTAAATAATAATCTTCCAGTTTAATCTAAAATTATTAATTAAATTATGCAGTAAGACCCCGCTTAACGCGGGGGATGTATTCCTAGACAACAAAGCACTAAACAAAACAGCATTAAACAAGGTCATTTTAACATAGAGTAAATAGGGATAAAGGAACATGTGACCAAAAATAAACAAATTTTACTTTAATTTTAAGTTATATTATACAAATTAATATGAAAATATGTTAAATAACACAAACATATGCACACAAAAATATAAAGTTCATTTTTTGTGAAGAAGATCCTGACTTTATCAGAAAAGTCATAAAGTTTCATTTGTCATTTTTTTTTTTCTTAAACAAATGTCTGTAGCAGAAGATTGCATCCAAAATGCCTCGTTTTGCTTTTGCATGCCTTTCAAAATCTGGATCATTCACTACAATTTGATCAACAATTTCAGTTATCTTACCAAACTTTTAATAAGGAAATCTGTAGAGAAATTTTTTGGGTTCTTTGTTTTCAGAATCTCTATTTTCCAGTTCTACATGAATTCCTTGTTCTGCCAGTTCTTGAAGGTCATCATCAATAAGACTCTCACCAGAAATATGCAGTAACTCCTCAATATCCTGCTCGTCTACATCTAGTCCTGCCATATTGATTAGGTTGACCAAAGCATACAGCAATAAGCTCTTCTCGTTGAAAATTCTTGGATACCTTCAGCCATAACTATATATCAGTTAATTGTTGCCAAGCGAAGCCGATATTGCCTGTGGCATCCATGATATTATATTTTTCCAAAATTGCACTAAACAAAGAGATTTAAAGAAACATCTTTTTGCCACCTTTTTTCTGATTGATTCGTGTTCATAAATAATCGTATTATATATAAAATGCCAGAATAATTTAAATCAGCGTAAATTTCAAGTTTTTTTAAGGCTTGAACAGATTGCGTTATATCAAATCAGCATTAAGTGGGATCTTACTGTAATTATTAAATTTATTATGAGATGGCACCTAACACCTCGCTCCAGAATCAAATTTTTTGGTAATTTATTATTATTATTATTATTATTGCCATTATATAGCCTGATGGTATACGGCAGTAATTGGCTTTATTATTAAGAAAAAAAAAAAGGTATGAGCATAGTTCTCAAAACAATAGTTGAATAATTCATTTTTACCTCATAATATTCTTACTGACAGAAAAAGGAAATGTGTTCTCTCTCTTATTATAATTTTATTCCTATTGATAAAGAATATTTAGACTAAAGCTGTTCAATTAATTGTAAAAATGTGTGTGTTAATCATATAAGTTAATATATGTTTTTCTCATGTTAATTTTAATACATTTTAATTATCAGATTAAATTTAATCAAATGCAAGGTAGATCTGAAAATGAAGTGTGTTTTGTAATCTCTAAATTTTTCAAAAAATGTATGAATACCTCAAACTTTCAAGTCTTTACATGGATTATTATTACTAGATTGTAATATCTATATTTCATGACTTATGAGCCTCTCCCACCTGATAAATCATTCTTTCAAGCATTATGGCATACATTTTTCATGAATAGAAAATTGCTTATTATAACTCAAAATATAGTATGAAATAATCATCATGTTTTTTATATTTTGAATCATTATGAAGAACAGATGATCAGTTAACAGTACAGCAAACTTACAATTTAATGGACAAAAATGTTGTTCTAATATTCTAAAAGAAAAATCCAGAAATCTTTTTTATTTGCAGATAAAGCATACTAAAAGATGGGTCAATAAGTATAAATTACTCAATGTACATTATAATAAAATATTTTATTCATGTTTATTCATGAATAAAATATTTCATTTCAATACATCATAAGTTCATTATGAATATGTTTTTAAAATACATTTGATTTAATGGACTTTTGGCAATTGTGGACATTCCTTTCCCAACTAGTCTTTACGTTGAGGGTTTACTGTACTTGCAAAAATTATATTTAGCTAAATCAGTTTTAACAATTTAGCTGAATTTTAGTTAAAATGACATTTCAAAGCTACTGAAATTCTGACAAGATTGCTTGTCAGAATTTTTGCTGCTTACTTGTTCAAATTTTATCATGTGCAATATTAATTGTTCACAATAAAATTTTAACTAAAAAAAAAAAGACAAGTTGTTTTTAATACATTTTAAAAATTATAAATCAAACCAATAGTGAGTAGAATGCTGCTCACTACTGGTTGAATAATGTATCAATTGGTGTACCCTTTGCATTAGAATATTTTGCAAATGTAGTGTCATATAAAAAATTTTCTTAATATTTGTCTGATAATATGATTTTTAATTTTACTACAATATAAATCAACTTATTTGTGTCAATAACTAATGGGACGAATAAAGTATTATTACATTGTTGACCATTAAAATTGCAACACCAGGAATGAATGATCATACGAACATCAAAATCATATGAAAGGAAGAAGAGGTTGGGATATGCAAATGATTAGTATTTCAGCTAGTATTTCAGCGCATTTAGATGATGCAGGAGGGACAAACGACATCTGAACACTGCATAAAAGAAAAGTTGTGCAGCGGATTTCTCATTTGGAAATCGCTTTGTAAGGCTGGGGTTTCATCAGAATATCATGTTATGCCTCGAATAAGAAGAAGAAATGCTTACCAACAAGTGTCAGAATTCGATAGAGGCAGGATCGTTGTCTATTGAGAGTGTGGATTATTGTTCTGTGATATTGCCACTCGCACTGGTTGAAATCCAACCACTGTCATGCGAATATGGAATTGATGGGTTGCTTAAGGTCTTACTGAATGGTATGCAGGATCTCAACACCCTCCCATGACTAATGCCCGAGAGGACAGACATATTGTGAGGTTGGCTGTGCAAAACTGTACAACCACATCACGGACCATTAGTCAGGAAATGAGCTTGTTTGCAGCAGTGTGGACTGAATCAACACTGTGACCATTACTTTGGCTTCCCTTGACAATGCAGCATAGAGAGAGATGGCAACTCTGCTGCACCCAACAACAAAGCTGGATACAAGAGTGGCACAATGTTGTCTTTTCAGACGAGTCCCAGTTCTGTGTGCAGCATTCTGATGGCTGTATACGTGTCTGGAGGCTCTAAGGAGACCGCTTGTCACCTGCTTGCATTCGATATCGGCATAGGGGCCCTGCACCTGGTGTGATGATATGGGCAGCCATTGGGTACTTCAATTGGTACATTTCTGACATCTTACATCCAGTGGTTGTGCCCTATCTTCGAGGCCTGCGAAATGCCATCTTCCAACAAGATAATGCAAGACCACATGTTGCAGGTCGTGTTCTGACCTTCCTCAATACAGAGGGTATTTAACTGTTGCCCTGGTCTGTATGGTTTCCAGATCTCTCACCAATTGAAAACATCTGGTCATGGGTTGCTCAGAGGCTAGCCCGCCACCCCTCTCCAGCTAATACAGTTGATGAAGTGTGGCATAGACTTGAAGCAGCATGAAATGAATTGCCCGTTTCTGTCATCCAAGCCCAGTTTGACTCCATGCCTAACTGGATAAGGGCCGTTTTAGCTGCCAAAGGTGGCAACTGTGTCCGCTAATTTCGCACCCCTGTAAACCCCCAAACTGTTTGCAAATTTAATCATTTTGTCTTCATGCCATACTGTTTATGTACAATAAATATCTTTTTTTTTATTTGCTTTCCTTCTTGGTGTTGGGATTTTAATGGCCAGCAGTGTATTTACTTTAGTTGTTTTAATGCTTTGTTTTTATTCTACATTTGAATTATCTGATCTGAAATTTATGATTAATACTAAGATTAAAATTTAAAATTTAGTTGTTCAACAGCCTAATTACAACAGTTTTGTAATAACTTTCATTTTATTTCTTCATCTATGAAATATTATCTTAAGGATATACATATAGGTATTTTAAAATAAATATACTTTTAATAAAACTTAACTGAAGAAATATAAACATAATACTTATATTTTAAAACAATAAGGAAATATTCTTTTAAATGTTTAAATTGTGTGTATCAAATTTGGCCTTGATGACAGTACATTATTTCTATTAAAATAATTTAAAATATTTTATATTAAACAGTAAAAAATTTAAAGAAGAAAAATAATTAAATCAATATTGTTATTTAATTTATATTAGTTAATAATACTGTAATTGATTTCCATTTTATTATATAAAGCTTCTACATAAATTTTTAATAGAAATTTTGTTACATAACTTATTTTAAATGAAATGCATTTTTATAAATAATTTAAAACAATTATTAGTTTTAACTGAAATATTTTGAAATAAATGTTACTCTTCTTATTATCTTATTCCTATTTATTTAATTTATGTTATAATGATGAATAATTTATCTTCATTATAGCAACAATAAATTAAGCTGACTAGTAATTAAAATTAGATTTCTCTTAAACAGCATCCTAGTAATAAAAATGTTAGTTTTCTAGGATATTTAATTATCCAAAATATAATTTTACTAAAATCTGTTCATTTTTTATTCATCTTATATTATATTTTTCGTGTTTTATTTGTAGTTACATTATTTATAAATAAACTTTTATTTTTAAATTCACTGAATTATAATTCTGAAAATACATTAAGAATTATTTAATGCACTAATATAAATTTAATATAAAATTTTATTTACCAAAAACTTAATGTTTATTATTCTTGAAAAGAAAAAAACATGACAATTAAAACAAAATTTATAAAAATAAATCAGCTACATGTATTTTAAATTTCATTTATAAGAGCAATAAAATCTACTTACTTTGATAACATTTTAATAAATGAACTTTGTCTTTTGTTAGAATCTCTAACTGGGATGATAAAATATGTTGTTGTAAACTATTTTTTAACCATTGTTGTTCTCTCTTAATCAATTTTTCATTTCCTTCGTGAGAGATTTCTGAAAATACTGGAATTAATGTTGGTTTTAACAATTGTAATCCAGCAAGAAAATTCCAATATCCATTATCCTGAAAAAATATTATTTCAAGCAAGAAATTCTTAAGATACATATATATATATATACATATATTTTAACATCAAATTATATATCAATTTATAATTTTAAAAATTCTATTATGTTTAACAAATTTAATATTTAAAAACAAAGTTTATTCTTTTATCATTTATAGAAAAATAAAATTTAAGATAAATCAAAAATTACCTGTTGATTTTGCAATTTATGGGATAATATTTTGTCTACAACAGTACAGAGGCGAGATAAACCTCCATAAGTATTCCAAACATTGTTTGAACAATTTGCCAACAGACCCTCTACTGTATGTTTCAAAGAAATTAGTAACTGATGTCTTTCTTCTTCCTCATAACTATAAAAATATATAATTATATTTTAGAAAACCAGATAAGATTTATTGTATATGATGATATTGAAAATTTTCTTAATATTTGTCTGATAATATGATTTTTAATTTTACTACAATATAAATCAACTTATTTGTGTCAATAACTAATGGGACGAATAAAGTATTATTACATTGTTGACCATTAAAATTGCAACACCAGGAATGAATGATCATACGAACATCAAAATCATATGAAAGGAAGAAGAGGTTGGGATATGCAAATGATTAGTATTTCAGCTAGTATTTCAGCGCATTTAGATGATGCAGGAGGGACAAACGACATCTGAACACTGCATAAAAGAAAAGTTGTGCAGCGGATTTCTCATTTGGAAATCGCTTTGTAAGGCTGGGGTTTCATCAGAATATCATGTTATGCCTCGAATAAGAAGAAGAAATGCTTACCAACAAGTGTCAGAATTCGATAGAGGCAGGATCGTTGTCTATTGAGAGTGTGGATTATTGTTCTGTGATATTGCCACTCGCACTGGTTGAAATCCAACCACTGTCATGCGAATATGGAATTGATGGGTTGCTTAAGGTCTTACTGAATGGTATGCAGGATCTCAACACCCTCCCATGACTAATGCCCGAGAGGACAGACATATTGTGAGGTTGGCTGTGCAAAACTGTACAACCACATCACGGACCATTAGTCAGGAAATGAGCTTGTTTGCAGCAGTGTGGACTGAATCAACACTGTGACCATTACTTTGGCTTCCCTTGACAATGCAGCATAGAGAGAGATGGCAACTCTGGTGCACCCAACAACAAAGCTGGATACANTATATTTTAAATATATATTTTTAAGAATTTAAATATAATATAACCCATTTTAATCCCAAATAAGTTAAATCCATTTAGAATTAACCAGGATTATAATATATGGATTAAATAAGGAGATCATCTAAGATAACGAGGAGCAGTGAAATCTTTAATACTTTAAGAGCACTGATCAATTAGAGAGGTAAAGCATCCTTCAGGTTTAATTAGAACACGTCTTCGTTGAATTCAATTAAAATGAGAAATTCTAAATATGTGGTTCTTCTCCTCTACGACCCTTCATTTATTATCGAAATTGTAGTAAAATAACAGCAACACTTTACTGTAAAGCAGCAAGAAGTCGCCTCTCTCTCTTATTCTCTTCTAAAGATTTTTTAAAGAATTTTATTATCTATTTATCAGAAATTGCCTTATGTTAATAAATAATGAAAAATACAATTTTTCTTTTTACTCTCTTTTTTAAATCATTATAATTTAAGTATGCTGTGAAAATTTAATTATCGGTTCAAGTGTGCCATGACAAAGGTTAGAAAACAATGATATATATATATATAAATGATGTGATACTTAATCCTTTCTATAACTAAACTATCACAATAACAAACACATAACCATTAAATATGCAGTAACTAACATTTACTAACCATCTAATGTTTTTGGTCCTTTTGATTGACCTTCAGGAAAATACATATGATACAGGTAAATGATGTGATACAGTTGTAAATAACATATACAGTGGTACCTCAGGATACGAACGCCCCAGCATATGAAATTTTCAGGATACGACATGAAATTTGAACATAATTTTGCTCCACGGTACGAACAAAAACTCACCGTACGACGTTACATTAGTTCGCAGCGCCATTTTTTATTCACTTCTGTTCACCGGTCTCATTCCGCGTGTTTGCTTCGTCGTGGAAGGATCTCGCTCGATAAAAGAAATCTTGAGGTATTATCAGAAAGTGACTGATTTTATTGAAAAGAAACATCCCGAAAAGGTTCACACTGGCCATATTGCTGCTCATAGTAATGACATTTACCTAAGTCATTTTAGAAGCATTTTAAAAAGAGGGCAAAGCCAAACCTCTTTGGATAGATATTTTACCAAGCAACCTCTATCCAGTGAAAGTGAAGAAAATAAAGCAAAAAGCAGTGAATAAAAAATTAAAAATAACTTAACACTAATTTTTTAACTTTTCTGTTTTATATATATTTTTTACAGTTATTGTTACATTATGTTATGTAAGTTAAGCTTTAGTATCATTTCCCTTCTCCCACTCTTCCGCCACCAGTTTACACCTCCACTGTCGTCTATCCTCGAAGGTAAAGTGCAAATAAAACTACATTTTTTTTTATCAATTATTATTCTATTATGGTTATTTATACATGTACAACTACAAAATGCATTTTTCAGTGTTTTCCTTACTAAAGTTATTTTTTCAATGTACTACTTAGCTTTAATTTGAGTGTTTTTTCGTGTTGGAACAAATTATTTGGTTTTACATGTAATCGTATGGGGAAAAATGATTCACCTTACGACATTTTCATGATACGATCTCAGTTTCGGAACGAATTAATTTCGTATCCTGAGGTACCACTGTATGTATATTTATTCAGTTTTTGTAGATATTTCTGCTTGCAAAAAACTGTAGATAGAATAAAAAACCATACAAAAGAGTAATGAAAAATGATCTTTTGATATATTACTTGTGCTTAAAAAAAATAATTTTTCATGTGCACGTGTGCAATTGATTCCTTGAGGCTAAAGATTTGAATTAACACCACTAGTCATGGCAAATGTGACATATATTAGGAAAGGTGGGACAAGTATGAATAGTGAAGCAAGATGGGGTATAACCTGTATTGTGCCTAATGGTGCTGTAACAACAGTAAATAATTCAACTAAATCTGCATGCCAAAAATATAAATGGTGGTGAAATTATTATTATATCAATGCTCTGTCTATGGAGACGTGTTTGACAGTCACAATAAATTTTTGATTCTTTCTATCAATAAAGAATTCTTTTAGTTTTATAGGACTGTAAAAATGTTTTATTAGCACCACTGATTACCAAGGAATTTAAGAGACTTCAAAATGATATGTTGATGTAAGATAGGAAAGTGTTGTGTGGGACAAAATAGAGGTTAATTTATGTCTTTTGTTCATCTTCATCATATACCATCTTAATAATCTGAGAGAACATGGCAAAAACAGGAAAGTAGTTCTTGAAAGAAAGACTTGAAAAATGGACAAGACGAAGAAAAAAATGAAGAATGTATTAGTACACCTCTTGAAAAAAGCTCTTCAAATGAAGAACTGAATGTCTTTACTGTGGATATTTGTATTCTGATGCAAGGTTAGATATGCAATGTAATACATCATTGATGATGATAAGGTTCATCACACTTGTGCTGTATGTCTTCAAAAAAATAGATTACAATACTGTAAGAAGCAATTATTTATTGTGACATTGTCACAATGCCAGGCTGCAATTTTTAATCATATTTTTAATAATTTTTTAATTTAAAATATATGCTCTCCACCTCAAATTATTAGTGTCTTGCTCCTGTACATACTTTTCCGTTAACAATAGAGCCGTGGCAGTTGTCTAACTCCTTTCAGGAGAAAATTTTTGAATTAAAAAAACCTTAGTTAATCAGAGCCTCCTGCCCTTAACCTTTTCATATCTGGTTTCAGCTTTCATCTACATAACACCATTCTTGAGATTAAGAAAAGATATGCAGACAGACAAAAAAAAAATGGATGGACAGGCAGATGCCAGTGGGAATTTATAGGTCTACAATATTTCAAATTATAGCCTAAAAATTAACCCTAAATATTGTTTCACTGCTAGTTTAATGTTTAATCTTAATAATTATAAAAAATTTAATTTGAACCACTCCATATTGTCTTAAAACACATATGGGCAAGATAGGGTATTTTACATGATTTCGTAAACATTGTAAAAGGAAAAAAAATATAATTTGAATTTTTTTCTAATACACACTCTTGAGCACTGAATGACAAGATCTTTTTCCCAGGTTGAGAGTCAATTATAAAAAATAAAAGGTCCTTAACTCTTTACTTCAAGATATACTATAAGATATATTTTTATATAATTCTGTAAATAATTTATTTTCATTTTATAAAAGTTTTTAACAAAATAAAAAAAAAAAAATTATATTTGTTTTTGGATATATTGTTATCTGTAATGAAAGCTAAACTGTTCATTAAGAACTAATAAATCTGCTGGATTTTGCAAGGTCATAATTAATACTGGTCCAATAATTAATAAGTGAAACAGCAGTTTTAATAGTTTATTTAATTAACACTAGATTTATTGTCTTTGTTTTCTAAGCATAGTAATTTCTTTTAATATTGAATGTTTAATATAAATATAATTGTAAATTATTACTTTATTAAAAACTTCAGTGATTATTTTAGTAATAATTTTAGAACAGATTTCCAATAAGCCATTTCTAATATTTTTACATGTTATACACAATTCTATACTGTCTGAAAATAACAAATTACAGAAAAAAATATATCTGAAATAATTAATTTATATACAGTAATCATTATATATATTACTGTATACTTACTGTAATATAATATACTGTTATATTATATTATATATATATATATGATAATAATATACTGATATGATATGATAATAATATGATATATGATATATATTACTGTATACTCACATTATATACATTATATATATTACTGTATATTACTGTATGATAATTACTGTATATAATCTAATGTATATATATGATGATTATTGTATATATTTTTAAATTCCCATTATCTCATTTCATCCTGAAAATGAATCTGTATAACTTTTTTATAATGCTCTATTTTAATTCCTCTATTTCCAGAAAATTCAAAGTAATTTATAGATATTTTGTCTTAAAAAATATAATATAATTTTAAAGTGTCAATTTAATTTTTTTAAAATTGATTATTATAAACAATTTTTTGGTAGTTTAAACAACCATCAGGTTACAAGAGACACTTCAAAGAAGAATGCTGTATACATACAGTAGAAGAATCTACTGTATGGTATACAGTAATTCTACTTTACTGTATAGTATACTGTAAGTACGCAGGCATCTTTAAAATTAAAAAAAAGTTCCATTCTGCATAGCATTTTTCTTTTGAATATCAATTGATA